ATCTTTGAGCCAAGTGAAAATGTTTAGCATGTGTATTCATATGTGTATATGATATTTAGAATAGTTTTTAGCCACTCTTATGTGATTTGTGCATTTTGGGAGTTTAGGGTCCATTTTGGGAAATGGCACCCGAATGGTCAAATTTTAATGTATAGGGGTTTTCTATCATTTGAATGTTCTATTAGGTACTTTTAGTCCCATTTGACGTGTCCAAAGTGTTCCCATAAATTTGTAACCATTAAGATGAGATTTGGACAATTTTGAATATGGTTTTTTACTAAAAAACTGCACTTTTATATGTGGGTGTCGAAATCTTAATCCAACCATTAGATTTCTCTAAAATTTAGGTCACAAGTAAAAATTTTTATAAGCTTCGTGTGAGCTTTAGAATCATATCAATCGGACACCAGACAGAGAAACGGCGTACTCTGGAATTTGGTCCAGAGGAGCTGTCATGACAGCAACAGTGTTGATGTTGCAACATGCACGAATTTCAATCCGTCCATTGGATCTTTTCAAAATTTGGTATGCTAATAGTACTATTTAAAATTCATATATGGGCTTTAGAATCATTTCAATTGGAGGTTAGATGATGAAATTGTACACTCCGGAAGTTGGTTTAAAAGTGCTGTTATGATAGCAACTTTATTCAATTTTTTAGAGTGTCCAAATTCTAATCCAACCGTTAGATCATCTTTTAATTTGGTACACTACTAGTAATTATTAAAAATGACATGTGAGCTTTAAAATCACTTCGATTAGAGGTCAAATGGTGGAACGGCACCTCCCAAAAGTTGGCTTGGGAGGGCTATCATGGCAACAATTTAATGCTGTCATGACAGCATCTTTTTATCCCACTTTCATCTAGCTTACTTCTATGTGCTATAGGTAGAACTTATAAATTTTACTAAAAGTTTTAAATTTTTATTTTTATGATGGTGTATTTGTTTATTGATTTAAATGATTGTTACCTAAGTTTGTTTTAGGATTAACTCCTTAACCACACTTAGTTTGTTTGAGTTGTGTGATTTTTGGATAACACTCAGGACAAGTGTTACAATCTCAAACATAGCACCTTAAAAGTTACTAAGGAGATATAATTCTCCAACACCGCACTGCATCAAGCACTACGAAGAATATGCCATATGGTCTTATCATCACACTTCATATAGGTAAACTCTCACCCCTATGATCATGCTTTCTGAACTAATAATAGGTTCCCAATCATCACTTTACTCATATATTGACATATACACATTTCTATATCAAATTACATAAATTTCATCACTTATTTAACCAAAATCTTTTTTTATGCAATAAACATTAAATGCTACAAAGCATGCGCAATTCAAAACTATTTCATGCATTACATAGCGAACTCACACACAGTTACAATAAACAATCAAGCAAAAGAAGTTATTTAGTTATCCCAACCCTTCTGTCACTAGAAAGGTTACCCGTGAATTTTAATTACCACTATAGCTCATCATAAGCTTCCTTTCTCAACTCACATGCACGATATGCCAATCTCAACACAATTGGCACAATTTATCAATTAGCCCAATTTGACTAAAAGTACATAATTACTACTTATAGCTACATTTAGCTATTCGTTCTAGGTCCATTTATCCGTTCTAGGTCCATTTATCCATATTGTTCCAAAACTTTAAATTCTCACATAAGGTTCGTTCAAACCCTAGCTAAAAGTTTTAAATCACTATAAAACTCAAAAAATTAGGTTTAGAAGCTTGATTTAACTCCCCAAAACCTTAACTAAGTTAATGGGTTCAATCTAAAGCTAAGGAAAATGAAATCAAAGCTTACATTGCCCCAAAAGTTAGAAATTTGCATAAAATAAGAGGGAGATGTGAAGAAACTTACCTAATGTATAATCTTTCTCTAAATGTTTCTAAATGGGTCCCAAAGTTGAGACCTAGCAGCCCCAAGCTCATCCTCTGTTGATCATTTTTACTTTTTCCTACTTCTAATTTTCAATCTGATTTCACGAATCTGATAAGTCCAAATTTTCTATATACGCCATAGCGCATGGTATAAAGATTCCCATACACGTTTTGGGTCTTTCTCTCCGTGCCATGGCCCTATCGAACATCAACCTAATCCTCTTTTAAGGCTGCTTAAGGATCCATTAAGTACATTACTCTCCAAAAACATCATTAAACTAAAATTCACTTGAAATTACTATTTTACCCTTATAAACACTTAAAATCCCAGGTTTGAAATATAGGACATTACAACAATTAGGTTTAAAATGTTTTTAGGAGGGTTATAGAATGAACAAAATTGAATGTAGATGAAAAATAGCAAAGGAAGGTATTTTGAAGAGTTTAAGATTGAGAATGTAAAACAGAGCATGAATCTTCAACTTAGCATTAATACTATTGAGTTTAATAGCACATTTATTGCTCTATTAGTACCAGAGCAAAGGTCTTCATAGATGATGATGATGATGATGATCTTTCTCATTTTATGGAAATACCATGGTTATTTCAAAGAGGATTGATAGCATAGGTGTTGAGAAAATAGTACTAGTGTTAATGTATCTTGGACAAAATCTTATAAAGAGCAAGGTGTTCAAAGCTGTGAAATAGTACAGGTGTTAACCATTTATGCTTGCATTCTAAACACATAGAATCTTGGAAATAGTACTGGTGTTGACATTTAGCACAGGTGCTAAATAAATGTCAATAGAGCGAAGGAGAGAAGAAAACATAAGTAATACTGGTGCTAGAAAGTAGTATAGGTGCTAAAGCTAGACACTGGCCAAGTTACAGAAGTAGTACTGGTGCTACTGACACTTAAAAAGAATTTGAAGTTCTAGAAGATGATTTTGGCAAGAGACTTAGTTCAAAAAATTTCCAAAAGAAGATTTAAAGATTCAAAGGATATATTGTTAAGTCAAATACTTGACTCAAATAGAATTTCATAAAGAATAAGAATATTTGGGACAAGAAGTTCAAAAATTAGATTGAGTGCAAGATCCTAAATATTAGTGTTAAGCCACTTATGTTAGATTAATGTAAAATGCTTAGCCAATTACCTTACCTTTATTTTATCATGATTAATTAGCTTGTAAAACACAATATTCTCTTTATTTTGTAATCATCAAAACCATGATTCAACAACATTGCCTATAACATTTCCTAGTCAGTCAAGATTCTTGTTAGTAATGCAAACATAGAAATACATTCAGCGAGATTGTCAGGCCTACATAGTTTTCTTCTTTGTTTATGCTATTTATGATGGAGGTATTGATAAGATAAGGGTGTTGAATGAGTTTCCCAAGGTATTCTTTGAGGAAGTTTCCAGGCTACCACCTGAGCAAGGATGGAATTTTCAATTAATCTAGTGCCTAGAACCAAGCCAATCTTAAAGGCTTCTTATTGACTGTCTCTACCTAAATGATATAACTTAAAAGCAACTTGAGGAACTATTGGACAAGGGTTTCATCCAATCAGGTGTATCTTCTTAGGGCTTAGTTGTATTGTTTGTTAAGAAAAAGGACGATAGTATAAGGCTCTGCATCAATTATAGGTAGTTGAATAAGGTAACTGTCAAGAACAAGTGCCCGCTACCTAGAATTGATGATTTGTTAGATCAATTGGCTAGGGCTTCAATATTTTACAAGATTGATTTAAGATTGGGCTAGTGTTAGTTACAGGTCAAAGTTGAGGATGTGCTGAAAATTACTTTTAGCACCAAATATGATCATTATGATTTTCTCATGATGCAGTTTGGTTTGATAAATGCCCAATAGTGTTTATGGATTACATGAACCAAATTCTATGACCCTACCTCAATAAGTTAATAGTGGTGTTCATAGATGACATTTTGATATACTCCAGATATGAGGAAGAACATTTGAAGAATCTTCATATTGTCTTGCAGATCTTAAAGGATAACAAGTTGTATGCCAAACTCCGTAAATGTGAGTTTTGGTTGAGAGAAGTGAAATTTCTTAGACAAGTTCTGTCGGCAGATAAGATTGCTATAGATCTACAAAAGGTCAGTGTCATTTTAAAGTAGGAACCACCTACCTCAATCACGAAAATTAAGAGAGAAACCCCGTTCAAAGCCCTATTCTCAATCTCCAGAACTAGTTCGATGGAAGCTTAAGCTCATTTGCAAAACGAACATTACATTTTGGATCATAAATGGAGTCATAGAGTACTGCCAAATCGATGTTGGCCTTGTTTTACACCTTCAAGTTCTTGTGAAACAGTCGATCCTCCTATGGCAAATTTCTTCACCTCTTTCAACAATTTCTCTTCCTCCAATATTTTTCACTCAAACAATTTGCGAATTTAATCACCCCAACCTTTAACGATCTTTGCAAATGCAGGCATAATTCTTGTGAGAAAAATTGAGAGAGAACAAGATTCAGACTATCTCCCTCTTCCTTTGTCAGTCTTCTATTCTCAATTTTTCACCAATGATTGAGAGAGAGAAACCCAATTTGAAGCCCCATTCTCAATTTCCAAAAACTTAGTTCAATGGAAGCTTAAGCTTATTTGCAAGTTTTTTCTTTTGTTTTTTTGTTTTTTGCTTTTGCCATGCATCCAACTCATCCCATTTAACTTGCCACTTGTGGATTTTTTTTTTTTTGGGGTCAAAATGAGTTAGTTAAAGGTCAAAATGGATGAGAGTTAATGTTAGGGTAATATTACGTTCTTTTTAAAAGTTTCAAGATAATATTACTTCAACTAAAAAATAATGGTATCTAGAGCTCTTCTCAAGAAAACTTTCAAAACATTTTGCATCTTAATTCTTTTTTTTTTTTAATGGTTTTTTCTTGTGTTCAATTAGTTGTGTGCTATTTTGTATTTTAATTTTTTCTTTTAATGTTTCCTTTGGCTATTAGCATGGGTTTTTTTTTTTGGTAATTAATAAAATTGACTCTTTTTTTTTAAAGAAAAAAGAAAAATCTAAACTTAACAGCTGGAGGAAAGAAAAAAATAAATTAAGAGAATGAGAGGGGGGAAAGAAACGCAGAAATCCTTCGAAAGTCGGTTCTTTCTGTGAAATATTGGGTCACTTAAAGTTCGCATCATTACTGAAGTTTTGGTGTCTTTGAGCGTCTTCTCGCTCTTGCCTTTGTGGTAGGGTGCTCGCTTATTTTGATTTTTGATGGATAAAGGGAAGGCTGTGACGGCCTTGACAGCATCGTTGCAAAAGCTCGATTTGAATCCCGGATCCAATATCAAGCCCAAGCCCTCCAATATCTTCGTCGACCCTCATTTTTCCGGTACCTTTCTCTCCCACTTCTGGTATGGAATTATTCTTTTATGTGCCGTTTTATGTGAGTATTTTGTATTATCGGTAAAGCTTCCAAATTTTCATGCTTTATGATGATGAAACTGACTTCTTTTTTTTTTTTTTGGGATAAGATGATGAAACTGATTTTGATTTTGGATTTATTTTTTGATTTCACTGTTATGGTTCTCACTGGAAATTGAAATAATATTGCGGAAAAAACTAACTTTAAAGCGAAGTAGTTTCTGAGTGTTCAAATTAAGTGGACAATGTGGAATATGGAAAGGATTTCGGGTTTTATGCTTGGAAACCTCCTGATTTCTTGGTTGCCAATTTTTCAACTTATATATCACACTCTCAACGTATCATTTTATCATCATTAGCATGTCCTAATCTTATGTAATTATTATAGCATTCTGTCTCTAGTTTTAGAGTTGTCAAGAGTAATTAAAATCTTGTTTTCTATATGCCAATGGGATTGGGTTTTGAGTTGTCAAGAGTAATTAAAATCTTGTCTTCTATATGCCAATAGGATTGGGTTTAGCAGAAGGGCTAGTCCCTCATGATATAATAAGTTAATATTTAAATTTTCACTAAGAGGGGTGCCTACATTTTCTACCTGACTGTGCCTTGAATATCTCAAACAGGAATGCTTCCAATATGAGAATGCTTGTAAGCAATAAATAAAAAAAAAATCTTGTTTTCGATGTTGTTTTGCACAATACTGGACTAGTTATATTGCGATCTGTATCTGACGTTAGGTTTGGAAAAATGGTTCTTAATGTAGTCTCCCTACCTAAGAAGACAAAGCCTCCAAGTTTAGTCAGCTTGTGTCTTGGAGTTGTTGGCAGGCATTTAGAGGATATCATTGCTGATTTGGATGAGATTGCTATCAACTTGCCAGCTTATATAAAGGTAGCGTGCTAGAACATTTTTCTTTCTTAAATTCTAACAGTAAAAATTTTGAGGATATGACTAGCGCATTGTAGATGTGATATATAAGGCAAGAACATACCTATCTATTTCTAAATCTCATTATTATTGCGACTCTTAGAGATGAAGATATTGTTTTTCTTCCTTGGTTAAAGACACCTGGGAAATTTGTCAATTAATATACTAAACTGAACCTCTTTCCTTTTTTATGTTGTATATTTGTTACTGGGTGAGTAAGCCACTGATAAAAGGGCCTTGTTTTACTTCATAGGCCTTCAATTTTATTTATAGTAAGCAACACTTATTTCAGCAAAGCTATGCAGCACTGACTAGTTATGAAACTAGGATAAAAACCCTAACCAATTAGATACAGAATCAACAAAATAAATACCTAGAAGGGAATTAAAACAAAAGATAAAAACAAATACATAATCATAAAACTAGGAAAGAGATGAGATGTAATGATAAAGCTATAATAGGGAATTGAGAAACGGACTAGGGAAAGAGGATATTCTAAAGCGATATAGCTGTTTTCTTGTTGACCATCACATGTAATCTATTGGTAAGTAGTTTATCACGTGATAACAGATGGCGGTGGCTGCTATTGCTAGGCGAAGGAAGTTGCTCAATGATGATGTTCTCATATCATTAGCTGATCGTTCCTGGGAAATCCTTGATGTCTCTGGCTCAGATGTCTCTGATTTTGGCATAATAAAAGCAGTTGATGTATGCAGGTTTATTAGAGCTCTGGATATCAGGTATAGAGCTGTGGCTCTTCAATTTATTAACATAGAAGATAAATACCATTGATATTTCATGATTTTTAGTTTCTTAACATGTGATATATATATATATATATATTATTAATAATAACTCATAAGCTTTGATGATGCTGAAAGAATGTGTGGTAAATAACTAAACATAATATGAATTGACTAACAGGATAACAAATTATGTGGTGGACTCTGCCATTTAAACTACTCCGTGAGGTTATTAAAAGTGTCTAATTATTATTGAAGTTTCAGCTTAGATTTTATAATTACGGATAATTTACTTTGATGGTTCTGCTTCCACCTGACATGAAAATAATATTGAATTTACTTTGCTTTTTACTCTGGCCCAAACAAACATCTTGCTCAAGCATAGCTTACCATAGCTATCCCTCAACAGCATTACATAGGAACCTATAAGCAGCTAAGCATCAGCATATTTAATTCATGCCCTGCAAGATTCAATATGTGGACTTTCCTTGTACTTTTGACTAGCTTTTCTATCATGTGAAACTTCTTGATAATTGTGACTATTTTGTAGTCAGTGCAGCAAAATTACTGCCATGGGTGTATCTGAACTTGTGAAGCACTGCTCTTCACTGGAAACATTAAGATGCGGGTACATATTTCTGTTGTCTTTTATACATCTTCAATGTTCGTTTTTTTTTTTTTTTTTTGGGCGGGGGGGGGGGGCGCTTTTTCTCAATATATCTGAGAGCTAAAAAAAGGCCACACTTTCCTTGGAAATTTGAAATTCAATAAGAGTTAGCCAAAAGTTTGACAGTTTCAGATTGGACAAGATTTAAATCATGCAGAAATGAATGGGCTGCTCAGATGGGCAAGGCTATATTTTAGACACACACACAGAGTGAGTGAACATAGGACTGACTATTTTCAGGCAGCAGAGTTTATTGTTTGCGGGATTTTGGCTTTCCAGTGGATTTGTGCTTTGTAATGCACCCCCATGATGTGCGTGGAGCCCTAATTATTTGGCTAAAACCTTATAATTGTGTTTGCTTTAGATATATTCTAGTATGCTAGTGTTCCTCACTTGCCTTTCATATCTGTGGGATTCAGCCAATGTTCAGATTACGCAAGTCATTCTACTGCGTAGATGCTAATTTTTATGGGTGACCTTATATGAGGTTAATGAAATGTCTTAGCACGGTTTTGTGTGTAAAGCTTATCATTTGCTTGTGATGTTATTAGACCAGCTATGTTATATAGTAGTGAATGCTGGGCTCTAATGGAAAGTTAAGATCATAAAGTTGGAGTAGTAAAGATGAGAATGTTATGATGGACGTGCAAACATACACGTAAAGATAAAATTCAAAATGAACACGTACACGAAAAAGTGAGGGTAACACCTATTGAGGAAAAAATAGGAGAAAATCGTTTGAGATGGTTTGAGCATGTACAAAGAAAACCGTAAGAGACACCAGTGAGAAGAGTGAAACATATAACTTTGAGCCTTGTTAAGAGGGGTAAAGGAAATCCTAAAAGAACACTTTTAGAAGTTATTGAACGTGATCTCTTAATTAATAATATTTTTAAAAGCTTGGTAAATGATAGAACACAATGATGTCTTGCAATCCATATAGTCAACCCTACTTAGTGGGATAAAAGTTTGTTGTTGTTGTTGTTGTTGTTGTTGAGCTATTTGATATTGTGACAATTTCTGATGAATTTCGCAATTAGGAATAGATAGTGTGCTAGTGCAACTTAATAGCCCAAAACTATTTTTCATTTATCACAAATATAAATGGATTAACGTTCACCTCTTATTTGAGATTTATGATTAATATTGGTATATTTAGTTTGATAAAGAAAATTAAAAATTTGAGGCCTCTTTACTCATCTCATGCTGTGCATGATGGTTTTCTTTTCTTTTCAGCTATTATTGTGTGATAGATTGTATTTTGACTAGGATTAAAATTTCATAACAGGCAATGAACTATAGTTAATGTTGCAGAGGGTGTCCAAGGAGTGACAGCATTGCCCGTAGATGCTTAAGTATATTTAAACCAAAGCTGAATTATTTGGAGGAAGATTCATGGGAGGAGCTTGATACAAATGAAATTGCTAGTGGGGCCCAATCTTTGAGATGGCTTGTGTGGGTACGGACTCTCAAACTCTTCTCCATAAAAGGGTAACTTGGTAGCTGTAACTAACTGCAGATTTTGTTATTTCTGAATTGCAAATTTATAATTTGCCTTGAGGTGGGAAAGTTGACAGCTTTTGGACACTGATTTAGACATGGCTTCCTGGATAACTAATTTCGACCGGTAGTTGATCATAAAATTACAGAGAAGAACCTAAAAAATTATAGAAAATGACCAAAACAATTATAAAAAATGATCAAAAAATGACAAATAAGTACCATAAAACTTAATGGGTATTAATTTCCTCATATGGTACTTATTTGTGGTTTTTAGGTCTTTTTCTGTAATTTTTAAAGTCCATTTTCATGATTCATTGATTAACTAACCATCAAAGTTAACTTTTATTAATGGTAGGGGTAACATTACATTGTTTTTCAATATTTAAGGGAAACATTGCACTATTTTCTAGCGTTGAAGGAAAACATTACGTGAAAAATGAGGTTAGTCTTGGACTTATAGTTTAAGGGTAAATTTGCCTTTTTAACCCTGAAATGTGTATAACACAATTTGCTTAATTTCACTTGCATTTGTGTCTTTCTTGCAGCCAAATATCGATAATGGTTGCTTGGAAGACTTCTCTGCGGAGTGTCCACGCATTGTAGTAAATCCTAAGCAATGTCCACTAGGGTTTAATGATGATCATGTTCCTTGGGAAGCATTACAGCATATCACATTGGATGACGCAGCTGTCAGAGATATTGATCCCAGAACATGGGCTGTACATGGATTTACTATGAAGGCGGCCTCTCCATCTCCGGCAAGTCCCACTGAATTGTCAGTGGCTGAGAAATTCAGACTAGCATTTGTCGAAAGGGACACCCGGTTAGCGCCAAAGCGAGCAAAGAACGCACGACAGCATCAGCGTCGTGCTGTGAGAGAGTTGATGTTGATGAGTACCAGAGCCAAGGCTGCAGTTCTGGCCTCGCAAGTAAGCAAATCTCTGAACAACAGGAGTTAGTGATTTACTTGTATATTTTTTGTTACCAAAAAACCTGCATGCATGTGTACGTATGTCAAGTTAGCCTGCTGTGCGAAGAAGCTGGAAACATCTTTACCAAGTCTGAGTAAACCCAGTTTTTAAATTTTTCTTTGCCTGGAAACTACTACCGGAACTGTTGGTAATTAAATATCTGGTGTATAATTTATTCAATAGAGAATTACAATCAATTAAATTAGATCTTTATAGTCATATGGTTATGTATTTAGAGAGATGATCGGATGAGACTGCTCGAACGTCATCCTCTCTCTTTCTTAATATCTCTTTTTTTATTTTATCATATCACATGCAATTTACTTTTTAAATTACAGTTATTAAAATTTAAAGGTGATGCGTACTGCTTGTTGCTAGGTGCAATTTAATGAAGAAATATAAAGAGAACATGACAATTAAGGATCCCATAAAGACATTAATAAAAATTATTGGCCATGAATAATTAAAACTTCATTGAAGGACCATCGTCCCTTCTTGTAATTAAAAATGTAAAAGAATTTACCAAATTGCTCTTACAAACAAATGCAAAAAATAGTTGATCCAAGTTTTAGTCTTGCTCATGAAATTTTTCTCATGTCTTTGAATTTTCTTTATTTGCATTCAATCCTGATATTAGATGGAGTGGTTCTTCTTATAATTCATGGGTACACATTGTGTGGAAACTTGGATTGAACCGGTTGATCCATCCAGTAACCCAGTGAACTGGCCACTTGGTTAATCAAGAGATTAACCTGGGAGATGACTGACATGGATTGGCTTAGGATTAAGCCGGTGCAATCCAAATACACTAATGAACAACTTTGCTGAGCTAGTAAAAAATGAAGACCACCACTTGAGTGTGAAAATGAAGATCTGGAAATGAAGAGGGGAAAAGACAATGTAGATTGGGGAAGATAGAGAAGTGAGAAAAGAAAAATGATAATAGACAAATAGTTTTCATTGATTCGCATGTCCTCCATTATCAAATGACAGAGAAACTTCCCTGGCGATTGTAGTTTTTCTCCTTCCCTCTTCCTATTTTCTAAACCAAATCAAAATGAATCATACCTAAAATTCCGATGGATCAAAAGAGTGTGGCAGGAAGCTGAACGATTATGATTATTTATCAAGACTAAGTTGATGGTTATAATTGTTTTGTCATTTAGTAAAGAGACTCTCACTGTCCCATCATTGTTTTTCAAGAATCACTTTCCAATACAATTTTTATTAAAAAAATAATAATTAAATCTTAAAATATTAAATTAATATCAGTTAAGTTTCGAATATATTTTTAAAAAAATAAATTAAAAATATCAATTTAAATTATTATAAATTCAAAAATTTTAATTATAAATAAATATTTAAAAATTAAATATAATTTTTAAATTATAACAAAAATTTTTGTTTGTAACTATTTAAATTAATATTTATAATTTATTTTATTAAAAATTTAACTGTCATTAATTTATTTCTTTAAAACGTAACTCTCATTCTTTCATTTTTTATTTGGGGTCAGCTTCTCTCAGTTGAGTTCAAAACACATTGTTTTATTTATCAAACAAAAACTGGACCGTCTATTTTATCAATAAGTCTGAAACTCCTGTGACCATTTTATATGTTATTTTCATTTTAACCAGAATTACCTTTCCGTCCTTTCAACTTTGGCTGTTCCAGTTTCACGATAGTCAATAACCCACCGAACGACGATCGTTTCCCATTTGACTTACCGAGTATCTCATCTTCTTCAGTTTTGCTTCAGATTCGAGATCTTCTCTAAGTCAATTGTGCCTCAGATTTGAGAATCTCTGCTACCTTAAAATTTGTCGTTCGATCTGGAGGGTGGAGGCTCAAAGGAGAGTGAAAGGAGAAAGTTGAAGTGCAATGCAGATTTGTCAAAGGTAAATTCAAAGTTTGAGAGCCCTTTGCATGCTAGAAAGAAATAGAACGGAGTTGTCAAAAAAATTAGAATAAAAATGAACAAAACTATCCAACAGCATAAAAAAAACACAATATCATGTATCCCAATGTAATAATCACTACATCCACTATAAGTTTTAAGAACTATAACTCTTAATTTCATAAATTAAATTATTCATTTCATTATAAATATCATTGATTTATCTTTTCTCTATATCATAATCATTATATTTTTAATTGAGAGAATGATAGTTAGGTCCCAAAATAATGAATAATACCAATAAGTGCCCGACAAATTTTTTCAAAAAATAAATTAAAAATATCAATTTAAATTATTACAAATTCAAGAATTTCAATTATAAACAAATATTTAAGTATCAAATATAACTTTTAAATTGTGACAAAAATTTTTATTTGTAACTGTTTGAAATAATATTTTATAATTCATTTTGTAAAAAATTTTATTAAAAAATTAACTGATATTAATTCAATATTTTGAGACCTAACTATGATTCTTCCTTTTTAATTTTTAATTTTTTTAATCTATTCTATTCGTGAATGGTCCTGAGTTTCTACTCATGAGTGAAGGGAGGCAACAGGCAAAGAGGAAAAATCTGATATGAACGGGCAATGACCGATCCTGTTTTTAAGGACATACATTGATCTATTTTTTCTGTGTTTTACAAGTCTCCTTTTCCTCATCTTTTTTATCAGAGTCTCGTGCTTTCATGTGCTATGTGGGAAAAAAAATGCTTTATTCTACACCATAATCTTTTGTTATTTCTCTTGTATAGCTAGCGGAAAAGATTAATGATGTGTAAGAAACTACGAGTGTCGAAATTGTGTTGTTTCCTTGGCCTCATGTTTGCAGCTAAACGGATGAAAATTTTTTCTTTTGCTTGTACTGTGATCGAAAAATGTGTCAATGTTAAAAAATGTAATATAATTGTTGAATCGTTAAATGCTTAATTGGAAATATTGGAAGAATAATTGCGAATTGATAAAATTATATGTTTCTCCTTATACTTCCATGCTGAATTCACATAGGAGAGTATCTCAATAAAAGATGTATTTTGCAGTTTTTTCATTGAATGACATTTTGTTAAAGAATCACAATGAAAGATGCAATATGGAGGAAAAGATTAATTTCTAAATTGATTTCATCAAGCATTATTAAAGATGGTATTATTATTTACAGGGGTCAAGGATGACATATAGTTGGAATTCCCCACGCAAAAACATGTGCACGGAGTAAAGTAGACCCATGGTAATGTGTATTTATAAGATGATGAATGCTACACAATAACACAGTAAAAAAGTTATAGATTCATAATGATTGTTGTGAAAACCATTGACTTTGCCTTGGGAAAGCAAGCGACATTATGAATATTATAAATACAGTACCTTTTTGAAACCATTGCTGATTTTATGTTATCATGAATGACCGCACAGTAAGTGAAGAAAGTCACAACTCTAAAATAAAATGGCCTTTCATTGCTCAAGATGTAATGAACCAAACATGCCACAAATAGATGTAGGAATTCCTATCTTAGGGATTTAAAAAGGATGAAAATCAATTACATATTAAATGGTTTATAGTTAAAATGCATCTAGGTTTTTTTTAGTGTTTTTTGGTCTTCAAGCACTTTTTATATAGATACCCACACTATATATATATTTTGTATTTGTCTTGAATAGAACAAGTTATGTAATTATAGGTTTACAGGTTATGTAGTTTTTTGGGACAAGAAGACTGCCCAACTCTATGGCAAGGAGGTTTTCTTTGTACTTAGATTTCATATAATTAACTATACTGTTGCATCCCAAGTATGATGTATATCTATTGAATTTGGTATAATACATTCTTTCTATTTAAAAACATAAGACATTTTTAATCTAATCTCAACCGAATAAAATAGTTACTTATTTTTAAATTAAATCTATATTTTCATGTTTACTCCTATTTAATAAAGTGTTTTATCTTAAAATAAATATAAGGTGATTTATTTAATGGGAGCATTTTTTTTTAAAAGATAATGATTATACCTTAAAAGATTAAAAATGCCTTACATTTTTTAATATTTAATCCTCAAAAAATGCCTTATATTTTTAAATGGAGGGAATAAATGTTAATATTAATGTATCTATTTTTGGTTTAAATATGTGCACATATTTCAATAATATGATAACTATTGAAATTACTAATATACGCTAAGAATATTCTTAACCTCAATTGGAAAATCTGGAAACCATACATGGAAATGAGTTGTTTTTCAATAAGCAAATCCACAAGTTAATTTTTCAATTAATTGTTGATATATGTACTCACTTACGAAATTAACAAAAATAATGCGATTCTTCTCAATATATTTTTTCTCACAAGGACTAGAGTCCCAAAATGGAATTCTATTTTGTCTACTCATTCACGCGAGAATCAAGTTGATTGATGTGAAAATTAGGTTTACAAAATGGAATTTGGTTTTATTCACTGCATCAGGCTAGAATCAAAGGTGATTTGTAAAGTCTCATTCAAGCGAGAACGAACTCCTTCATGTGAGAAGTAGAGTTTTAACATATATTTAATGAACTTCACAAACAAAGTGTTTTTTCACAAAAGCTACTTCCTATATGCTAGAAGTGGTAATTTAAAACAACTCTAACAAGCTAGCCCAGATAAGGTCAAAAATTTTTAAAATCAAACTTGATACTTTAAAAAAAATTTTTTATTCTGAACTTATTTAGGCCACTTAAATAAACCTAAAAACATTTAGGCCAACCCTAAACCCGAATGTGCTTGGCTCATATATCCTAATTCTTTTTTTTATTAATAAAATAATATAAAAAAAGATAAAATTAAAAATATTATTTTTTAAAATAAAAATAAAATTAGATAAAAATAAAAAAATATTTAACAATTCAATTCTTCGAACTGCTCAAAAGCTTGAGTGGTTAAGGCGGAGCTTAACTATATAAATTTTTTTTTATATGCTGGGATATTTAAAGCTCAATCCAAATAAGATTGAGGGGTATTTGGGTATTTAACAATATGCTTTTTTTATAAGTTAGGATATTTAACAATTTAGGTATTCAAGCTAATTCAAAAACTTGAGAAGTTAGGGTCGGGCTTAATTATATATACTTTTTTATATGTTAATTTAAAAGCTTGAGAGGTTAGAAATGCCTTATATTTTTTAACATTCAACTTCTCAAAAAATGCTTTATATTTTTTAATGTGGGGAATAAATGTTAATATTGAAGTATCTATTCTTTGTTTAAATATGTGCACCTATAACTGGTTCAATAATATGATAACTATTGAAATTATTAATATATGCTAGGAATATTCTTAACCTCAATTGGAAAATCTGGAAACCACACATGGAAATGAGTTGTTTTTCAATAAGTAAATCCACAATTTAATTTTTTCAATTAATTGTTAATATATGTACTCACTTATGAAATTAAAAAAAAATAATGTGATTCTTCTCAATATATTTTTTCTCGCAAGAACTAGATTCTCAAAATGGAATTCTGTTTTGTCTACTCATTCATGCGAGAATCAGTTTGATTCATGTAAAAATTAGAATTTCAAAATGAAATTTGGTTTTATGCACTACATCACGCTAGAATCAAAGGTGATTCATACAAGAAGAGTGAAAGTAGGAAACCTTGTTTATGGACTTCTATTTCTTGCAAGAAGTAAATGTCATGACCACAACAATAAGAGTTCTAGTAGCTACTTGAGTTGTGCCCAAACCAGTTCTTGCAAGAACAAGTTAATTCACATGAGGAGTAGTCTTTCTTTTAGAAAATCCCAAGTATGCATTAGAGAACCGATAACACTTAAACACTTTGTTAAAAATCCTAAGTTTTATGTTCCAAAACTTGTCCAATCAATTCTCACAAGAATTGGATCCTACCCACGTGAGAACTAGCAAATAAAGAGGTTATTCACCTTTGTCATCCACTTCTTGCAAGAAATAGAGTAAGCCAACACGTGAAGTAAGTGTCCAAAGAAGCTTGTACTTATGCCTACCTCATTCATGCTATAACTAGATTACACCATCATGTCAAATAGATTGAGCTTAACACAAACCTCTTTGTAAAGTCTAAAATTCAAGTGAGAACAAGCTCCTTCATGTGAGAAGTAGAGTTTTAACATTGTTAACATGTATTTAATAAACTTCATAGATAAAGTATTTTTGCCAAAGTTACTTCCTATATGTTAGAGTTGGTAATTTGGGACAAATCCAATAGGCTAGTCCAAATAAGCTAAAAAATTTTAGGGCCATACTTGTCACTTTAGAAGATTTTTTTTACTTTGAGCTTAATTTTAAAAACCTGAAGAAATTAGGGCCAACCTAAACCCGAATGTGCTTAGCTCAAATATTATTATTAATAAAATAATATAAAAATAAGATAAAACTTGAAAAAATTAATTTTTTTAAAAAAATAAAAATTAACATTAGATAAAAATTTAAAAATAAAATAATATTTAATAATTTGGGTATTCGGGCTAGATTAAAAGCTTGAGGGGTTTGAGCTGGGTTTAACCATATAAGCTTTTTCTATATAATAGGATATTTAAAGCTCAATTCGAATAAGCTTGACTTGCCTGAATTATTAACTCCATTACATGCAATGCAATGCAATAACTCCAAATGGCTAGTTTGAAGTCTTTAATGGTCATATATTCCTTAGGCTATACATAGAACCTCATTTAAATTAGTGAGTAACAAATTGAGTGTGCATCAACTGATTCCTACCTTCTTGCATTTATTATTTGTACAAAGCACTCAATTTTGGTTTATAAACTTTCATTGTATTTTATCTACTTTTTTATAAGTTTTAAATATTGTTGTATTCAATCTTTTATTGAGTGAACTTAAAAAAAGGTTTTCTTTAAGTGGGTATTTATCTTAAAAAGGTTTTGTAAGGGATTTGTGAATGTTCAAAACTATGAGTCTTGATTTTGTACTAAAGTTGTAAGCACCTAGTTAATTTTGTGAGTTTTATTGAAAAATCTCATATAAGATCTTAAGAATTGAATATAAATCAAGGTGGTTGGGCAAATTCTATAAATTTTTTGTGTCTTTCTTTTCTTTCTAAACTTCATTTGATTAAACTCTCTTTATTTATTGTTTTATTGACAATTAAATTTTACTGTTTCATTGGAGAAAAATATTTTCAAAAATTTGAAAGCTCTCGATCCATCCTCTTGTTGGGTGCCATCTTACTAAACATTTGGAGCCTTTCCCAACGTATTGAAGACCCCAAACACATATATTCACTTGCAGGAGACAAGTTGGGTCATGGTTTTAGTTTTACATATTTAGGCTGAAATACATGTCATAATATAGCCTGTGAATTCATGAACATGAATTGTAAATTGAGTTTGCTGCTTGGCGACCTCATTGGCATCCTACATGGCATCTCAATTTTCTCAGCATCAACAAGTCATCGCAAGGCCACGTCATACAGGACAAGCCCAACATGATTTTGATCCATTACTAGGTAGAAGGCCCAAGTTCAAGATTCTTTTTACCAGTCCCCAAGTTTTAGATTCAATGCAAATAATTAGAGACCCAATTCGCAGATGATGATGGGCTTGGAATCAAAGAAGCCCAATTTGATAAGATTGAGTGACTAGGCATGAAGATTGTCCCAATACTATATCCAAAAAAAAAAAAAAAAGCCAACAACATTCTCCCAATAGACATGAATCTAGTCTTTTGATAAATTCATGCCTTTTAATTTGAATTGTCGTTAGCCAAAGTCTTAGACCTAGTTATAGCAACAAGGGCTTATTTGAAGATATTTAGAATTTAATTTGGATTTGGGTTGAAAGTTTCAGATTCAATTAGTTTATCTATTATACTTTTAGATTAAATTAGATTAACGCTAAAGCTTGCATCCAGGGAGGTGTTATTAGGACGGGAAGCTTTCAAATTGTACGTTAATTGGCTTCTTGGTTATTTTTAAATACGAGTCCAACATCTTGACATGATTTTTATAGATTTAATTGCAAATTTTCAAAGTTGGACTAGATTTTTGTGGAAAAATTCTGAATTGTAAAATTTCCAAGTCAAAATTTATAACTACGCATACTTTTCACAATTGAATGACTGATTCCTAAGCTAATCGTATTAAATATTTTAAATTTTCGAGAATATTAAAAGCACCAAATATGCCTGATCAATCTCATGGAAGGTTTGGGTATTGATCATAATTTTTTTTTATCAAAATAAAGAATTCGAACACGACAAAGTAATGAATGTTTCATAGGAGAATCAGAGAGGTAAATCAAAACCAAACCAACTACGAGGCTTTACAATGGTGGAGGCGAAAGGGGGAAAAAGAAAAAGAAAAAGTATAGAAGGTATCAGAATGAAAATTACAGTCAAAAGGGCTCTACACCCACCTCCTAAAAAGTATATGTTTTTTCACAATGGGATGGACACTCAGAAAGTGAAAGTGTGATTTAGAATAATTTGCCTTGTTGGGTGGTTCCACTCCTCATCATTGCACAAAACTCTTCATAGTTGATTCTGCCATCCTGCAAAACCATAAACTTTTATTACTTCCAGGGAACTTCAGTAGATATTTGTAGCATGACAATATAAAATATAAAATACTCTTACATTATCTGTATCAACTTCTGATAGAATTTCCTTAATTGTGGCATCATCACCAATTCCATATTCTTTCATGGCCGTTTCAAGCTCATCTCTTGTAATAAACCTGTAATTAAATCAAATAGAAAAGCCAAACTAGATTTGTCATTGCTCCCAAAACTCCAACAAAACGTTAATCCATATCAAGTAGCTTGGTAATCAATTTGCTCTTCTTGTGCGCGCACGCGAGACGTAAAGTAGGCCGAAGCCCAATTACAGCATACAAACAGAAAAAGCAAACTAGATTTGTCATTGCTCCCAAAACTCCAACAAAACTTGGTTAATCGATGTCAAGTGGCTAGGTAATCAATTTATGAAACAATTGTTTCCATACAATGTGCCTCGGTAAGCTACTTCACAATATGCATCACTTGCACTTATCATATGATGGCAGGGGCAAGGAGCTAATGAAAACTCATCAAAGTAACCAAATCTATAGTTTTTGGCAGTAGGATCCAGTAATTAAAAAACCTTTGGTGAATTTCTACGAGTTATTGTATAAGTATATATGTAAGCTATGACAAGATGCATTATTCAGAAATCATGAGTAGTGAAACTTTTTTTTCTTTTCAGAACAACTCTAATTGCACCTATACTAAACATAATATACCCAAGATGCTCTATTATAAGTTCCAATTGTGTGTATTACAGTTGGTAAGAAATACTAGCTAGGAAGACTCACCCACTGTTATCTTTGTCGAAATATTGGAAGGCTTTGTAAAGATGCTCATCTGCTTCGAGCTTATGCCTATGCATTGTTGCAGTGATGAATTCTATGTAGTCAATAGAGCCATTTCCATCTACATCGGCCTGATATAGAAGCAAAAGAATTGTGGAGTCAGAATACATCAAAGAAATTATGAGGTGCGGAATTTGATTTTTAATAATATCTCACAGCATCCAGAAGCTGCTGCACTTCGCCCTCTGTGAGCTTGGAGCCTAGCTTTTGCAATCCGGCCTTAAGCTCCTCGTAGGTGATTGTACCGCTGTTATCAGTGTCCATATTTCTAAACATTGCCTTCAACCCTTGAATCTCTTCTTTCGAGAGATTTTCAGCAATCACCTGAAGAAAAATTTTCAAAAACAAATCAGTTGATTGAATCAGAAAACCTAGAAGATCACCCCCAAAAAAAAAAAAAAACAAGGCTTAAGACACGGCCAAAATGGATAATCCTACATCACCCTATTCTGAAATTTAATTTGATTATAAAAAGTGAGAGCAGCAATGATCAAGCTACCCACTTGATTGTAATAGTTTTGATGCCAAGTTAAGAAACCGACTATTTAAAGCTTAAGCTCAAAGGAAAAAGCTTATGAATCATCTTATTTGCTGAGACAATTATTACTTATTTTACAAGTTGTAATTCGCAATTAACCCTTCCTACTTAAAACTAGGTCCAAAACCAGTGACATCAATAACTAACATTTTATTTAGGAGAATGTATGACAGTCAGTGTAGCAGTCGCTTAAGCAACTCAGAAGTTGACTTACCTTCAGAGCAAGTTTCTTAAGTTTATTCATTGCTCTGAATTGCTTCAACCTGGAGAGGACTGCACTATCAATTGGCTTGTCAGAAGCATTTCCATCTTCTCTAATCCATGGGTGTTCTAATCAATCAAACAATATAGTCATTCAGTTAGTTTAGAATTAGCAGGCATAATTTATTAATGTTTGGTAAATAAACAGAACTCCTTTTTCTAAAACTAAGACATTTTCTAAATAAACAATTGACATGCTGCAAGGCAGGAGAATGCAAGAAACACTATACTCGTGAACTTAGATTTCCCAAGTAGAAGGTTAACTATCTGTTATGAGGTTCATAAAACTATCCACGCTATTATCAGTACAAATGCCCTTCCTTAAAATTCTTGTTTAACTCTCAACTAGCGAGTTCATGTGCAATGTTTGTCACTTTCTCATATAAACTTTTCTTCAAGCTCCTAATAAGTCAGACAATTTGGATCACAGGTTTCTTGATAACCATTTCAAACAGATTGAGAGAGGTTGAAGCTGTTGTGACATGTCAAAGGTTTCTCTGTAAGTGAAGCAAAGATCAAGCAAAATTTCCTATTAAATAAGTTACTGATAACAGTCTAAATAGAAGTGAAACAGAATCTGGCTTATGCAATCTTGAAAGAATAAACTATAAAGCCTAGTTTCTTTTTGTTTTTTTTTTTTTTTCCTTTGCATTGCCTACAATAACTTGAGCATCCTAGTAAGTTATCTAAAGAACTCTATCATTCAAGTACACATACATGTGCATTGTGAGCAGGGAAGTCAAGATCTGAAGTAATTTTAGGATCAAGTTTAATAAATTTCAAGTAATCTGAGAGGAAATGAGTAACAATAGGAGTTTCATACCTAGAACTTGAGCAGCAGTGATGCGTTTCTTTGGATCCTGGATAAGCATTTTACTGACAAGGTCCTTGGCACTATACGATATGCTTGGCCATGGTTGACTTTCAAAATCTATGTGACCTTTCAATATGGCATCAAATATACCCTTTTCTTTTTCTATAGAACATATTTAATAAAAGATTAGTTAGTAGTAGAGTGAAGAAAAAAAAGTATAGAGTAGCCAAGGCGAAAATCTTATTATGATAAGAGAAGTCGTAGCTCACCAGCCCAAAATGGAGGTACACCACTAAGTAAGATATACAACATAACACCTGCACTCCATATATCTATTTCCTTCCCATATGAGCGGCGTAGAACTTCTGGAGCGACATAGTAAGCACTCCCAACTATATCCCTATAAACCTTTCCTGGGAATAATTATATAGAGAAAGTTCAGTCTCTATTCCATTACGAGATAATCTTGCCTTTTAGTCACATGAATCCTCTAAGTAAAGTAACTGCCAGAAATTAAAAAAAAAAAAAAAAAAAAGCTCCTGAACTTGTTGATAATAACGGCAGGGAACTTGACCAGGGTAATCAGTGTCAAAATACTAGGATCTAGTGTTGTCGATCGATCAAATCAACTCACTAGTACTTCCATCTACAAAAAAGAAATTCTATATTTATCTGATGAACCATTTGAATTTTTTTTTTTTTTTTTTTTGACCTTCAACCTCCATATGGTTTCCTATCATGTCTACTAGCGAGTGAAACAAAATAATGCATCCTGTAACTATTACTTGTTTCACCAACTTCACATACCCTCCACTTAAAATATTCTGATATTTATTTTTTTATTTATTAATTTTTGTGGGGGAGGGGAGAGTGATCAGATTGAATATTTTGGTGCTAGCGAAGCAACCTAACTGAGTCAAGGCCAACGGCTAAAAGCCAGCTCAACGAGAAACCATATAGTGAACAACTATAACAGTTCAGGAGAGTTCATACGTGATACGCATATGCTGTAAACTTAGCCTAAGAATAGAGAAAGAAGGGCCAAAAAAAAATATGGTGACAAATTATCTGCAGAAGTCTTTTCCAATTGTGATCCTTAAGAACAAACTAAAATAATTATGCTAATTTTTGCGCCCTCAAATATACAAAACTGGGCGGGCAAGAACATGTGCTGGCAATACAGCTGCTTTGTTATGTTGTATTTTCTTTTTCCCCCTTGGAAAGAAGTCAGTAAAGCTTTCATTTGTTAACAAGATCAGGTTATGCTGAAATTTACTCCCCCTTTCTTCTGGACAATTCCATTTAGAAGTTGAACTGAAACTCCCTCTCAAGCAATAGATGGGAACAGATAAACTTACCTTGTTCAATGAAAACGGAGAGGCCAAAATCTGTAGCTTTGAGGGATGCTTTTTCACCCTTGCTGGATAACAAAAAATTCTCAGGCTTCAGATCCCTGTGCATCACACCCATGAAATGGCAGATATGAACAACATTAACGATTTGTCTGCAGATTGAAGCGGCAGCCCTTTCACTATAATGACCCTTTGCAATAATCCGATCAAAGAGCTCACCACCAGCACATAGCTCCATCACAACATGAACTGAATGTGTATCTTCATAAGCACCTTTAAACTCAACAATGTTGGGCTGTCCACTCAAATGCTGCATAATCTGAATCTCCCTCTTTATATCTTCCCTGTCTGATTTACTCGTCAGCTTCCTCTTCGAAATCGACTTGCAAGCATATTGCTGACCAGTTGAATTCTCAGTGCACAGGTAGGTAACCCCAAATTGACCTCGACCCAGTTCTTTCCCAATTGTATAGTACTGTTTCACGTCCTCAAAGGCCTTTTCCAAAATTGTATCTGACTTACGAATCGGTTTTGGACTCGGAGAAGGAATCGAAGGTTTCCATGGCGCCGCCGCCGTTGCTGCTGCCGCGGTGGGTTTTGCCGGCAACTGGTAAGGCTCATGAATCTTCTGGTTGTGAACTCCAGTAGGCTCAACTGATCTGAAACCATTGTAAGTACGCTCTGAATCTCTCCGTTTCGTCAAACAACAACCCATAATACTATCTTAAGAATTTCAAAATTTAAGAATTAAGATGCACGAATGATATTGATTCAGGCAAGACAAGAATCAAGAAATTTTGGACTATAAACCCAGAATTGAGATCCTGGATGGTGGCCGAGAAGGATGGGGGAGCGAGTCCGAATGAGAATGAGAATGATTTGAATGAGTATCAGGTAATGGCACATTAAAAGCTATGGGGATCTGGAAGAGCATGAAAGAGAACTTAAAGAAAGGGACGAACAGTGGAATCGGCTGGGATGGTCAACTATTGAATGGAACAAGTGAGGTTGAAGTTTTCACGACCAACAAGCAAGAACCTTCCTTCCCTCTATACGACAGCTGCCTTTGCAAGTGCACGGAACCTGTATGCTCTACGGAATACGATTTACATAATAAAAAAAATCATCAATGATAATATCACAAACAAAATTCATTTCTATGTCCGATTAATTTTACTAAAACAAATTATATACTTCATCTATCCAAAATTATAAGATAATTTTAAAAATATTTTGTTATACTAAAATATAAAATAATTTGATAAAATAATTTTTTATAAATGATGTTTTTTCAACATTATCCTTCAATTGAAGAGAGAATTGAACTAATTATTATAGTCTACTCTCTTTATCTTTATGTATAAAATATTTTTAATTGAATATTATATATAAAAAAATTATTATTTAATTGAAATCATATATCATGATTGTGGAAGGTGCAATATACAATTAATGTCTCATCCATTTTGTTTAAAAAAATGGTAAAGTTATTTAATTATTTAAAAATATAATGACATCCTTTATATTTAAAGATAAGATAATGTTCTAAAAAAAACTTTATATACAAAAATGGAAGGATTAATGATTAAGTGTATAGATTTAAATGAAGGTTATTTTTGTAAGTTTATATATTTTTATAAAAAAGTAAGTTTATAAAGTATTATTATTAAATTTTATTGACATACATAATTTTATTTTAAATTATTTTATAATTTGAAATAGAGGAGTACATCTTATTGATTTAATTGAAAGAATAGTGAATTAGGACCCTGATTTTTAGAATTGATCCTTATTATTGGATAAAATAAGTCAAAGAAAAAGAGTAAATTAAAAGTAAAAAAGGTTTTGTTTAGGGTTAAAATTTGTTTGTCTTCTTAAATTTGAGGAGAGAGATCTCTCCTGAGGTCTTTGGCGGTTTCTCTGCTCCTTGGTGAACACCTTCTAGTTTTTCACTAATTTCGCCTTGTATGTTTGTGTTTCCTATTGTTTTCTTTCTAGTTTTCCCTTCCTTGGTTATTATCTTTTTTGTTTTTTCGATGGGTTTCTTCCTCAGTCCAATGAGTCTCGTATTTCTTAATGTAAAAAGCCGTCGTTTTCTCATTTTTAAGCTTTTGGAATCCAATATTCTTCATGTTTCGAAGCTTCACTCTCTTATTCATGTTTATTGGAAGCTTCATGGCTCAGTTTAGATTGTTCAACATCAGGATACTTTTTGTGTTACCTTTTTTGGTTCTGCTGTTGATTATTGTTTTATCTTAAAACAAAGTGTTTGGTTGTCCTAGGTGTTTTACTCTTGTTGTTTATCCTTAGGAGGGTTCTTTTTCTCTCTCTTTCGAGTCATTTTCCTTTTTTATTGTTTGGTGTCATATTTATGATGATTTCCAATATTTTATTGAATTTATTGATGTTTTTAATATTATTGAAAGTTATCTATTTATATTTTTTAGTAAGAATATGATTAAGTGGATGAATGTGTGTGAAAATGAGCTTGGAAATGTGTTAGAAGTTAATGGACCAATTTAAGCATTAATTCTGAGTTTTATGTATGTAGGGAGACCCAATTTAAGAGCATAAAGAACAAAATTTCAGAACCCAAGTCAAAGGAATTAAATCTAAAAAGAAAATCTGAACAGGTCATGTTTGTTGCAATGAAAACGCATTTCGCTGCAGTGAAATGCAATTTTAGTAAAACGTATAGTTTTGACTCTCAGTGAATTTTTAGGACTTGGGCACCTCATTTTCGTGTATTCTTCACCTCTAAGAGCTACAAAACATCTAAAAAGAGCAAAAGGAGCCAAAAAAGGATTGGAAAAGCTTGGGTTTACTGGAAAATTAAGGGTTTCACTCAAGATTACTTTTATTAAGCTTTTCTTCTCCTTCTTCTCTTTACTTTGCTATATATATTGTTGATTTTGCTGTCATGGAAGCCATATGTGGCTAATTTCTCTTAATCTAGGGTAGCTATAAACTAACTCTTAGATTAGAGCATGTTTGAACCATTTATTTGAGCTTAAGATTAGTTTTGTTTACTTAATTTTGTGCTTATTTGTCTACTTAATGCTTGATCACCATTGAGTGTGAATTTTGGAATTTAGGTTTTGCCTTGGAAGAGAAAAATCTGAATTTGACCACTAGATTGAGTAATGTAGAATTAGAATTTATTCTAATTCCAATACGATAGGAACATACCTAATGGGCCCATATAATCACATTAGAGTGGATTTATGCATTTTTACCTCTTGGATAATTGTGTTAGGAATAGCATATTAATTCAAGAGAGGGGTAAAATTAATCGGAAGATAATTATTCCTATTAACACTCTAGATTAACAAATTAATATTAAGTAAATTTATTTGGGTAATTACATGCTCTATGAATTGAAAAAAGGATTAGCCACCCTAGGTTGCCTTGACTATTTGTAGTTGTCAGAATTTTAATTTTAGTACATTCATATAACTTTAATTTCTTATTTTACAATATCAAATCCAAATTTTGTTTTGCTTGACTTAAATGAAAATGAAAAATTTATTACTTAATTACTAATTAACTTGATTCTCTGTGGGATCGACCTTGATTTATTACATATTATTTTTACAACTTGTACACTTGTAGAATTCATTACATAATTCTATGCATCAATTTTTTGGCGCTGTTGTTGAGAAATCTAAGCAATTGGTGATTAGAAATAGAGGACATTGAGTAGTTTTAGCTTAAGCATTTATTTTGTCATTTTTTCCTTGCTTGTTCAATTAGATCTTTGATCTTCTTCTTTGTTCTTGTAGGTCTATTTTGTATTCCATGCAAGGCTAAGTCAAAAAAGACATCTGTGAGAATAAGGAATCTCAAAGAAATCTCGAAAGCTATTTTACCTCAAATTCAACCTCCAACAAGTGAAAAAGTTACAAATAAAGAGATGGCTGAGGATGAGAATGTTAAGCTGTGTGTTATTGATTTCTTGGGTAGACAAGCTAGAGGATACTAGTTTGGGATTAAAATGCCTGACTTCCAAGCGAATAATTTTGACATTAAGTAGACCATGCTTAAGATGATTGGGATGAATGGGCAATTTGCGAGAAATCAAGATGAGGATCCTAATAGACAATTGGTAAACTTCTTTAACATATGTGACTCATTCAAGCAAAATGGGGTTCCTCAAGATATTATCCATCTTTACCTCTTCCCTTACTCTTTACAAGGGAAAGCAAAAAATTGGCTCAACAATTTAGATAAGGGTAGTGTTTCATCATGGGAGGAAGTGGAAAGCAAGTTCAGATCTAGATTTGTCCCACACAACAAGATGGTCAATTCTAGAGCCAACATTCTCAATTTTAATCAGCAGTTTGGTGAACATTTATATGAAGTTTGGGAAAGGTTTAAGTAATTGGTGAAGTAGAGTCCTGGGTATAATCAAGAGAAATGGGTTTTGATTCAAATTTTTAGTAGCCAATTAACACTTGAATCTAAGTCTGAAATGAATTCAGTAACTATTGGTAGGATTACAAAGCAACAAATGAGCTATGTTTGGAACTATTTAGATGATCTTGTTATTGATTACATCCAGAAAAACAATGAGAGAAGACCTGGAAGACCACAATAAAGAGTTACTGATGACTCTTCATCTTCCCAAGTGGTAGCTTTACTTTAAACTCTCAGTAAGAGATTTGACTATCTAGAAGCATGTGTTGATGGAAATAATAGTGGGCCTGTATGAGCTCATGCCATATATGCTCAGTGTGATTATTATGGAGATGCACATGCTATTGAACATTGCCATCTTTCTCAACAAGTTAAGATGATAAATTATGCTGGAAATTATCATGGTAATGATCAAAGTCATCCTATTTTCAAATACTTACAATCCTGGGCGGCATCAGAATCCTAACTTTGCTTGGAGAAGTAGTGCAACCTTCAATCAAGCTTCATCTTCTAGTACAAATCCAATCATTCTTCTAGGTTTTCCTCTAATTGAAAAGTGATCTATTCTAACTTAAGATTCAAGAGTTAACTTGGAAGAAGTGATGGTGAAATTGGCTGAATCTCAAATCAAGAATAGTCAGGAACAAGCTGCCATTAATGCAAAAGTTGATTCATCTCTGAAGAATCTTGAGATTCAAATAGGGCAAATTGCAATTGTAGTAACTACACTTCATAAAAGGGGATTGCCAAGTAATACAGAGACTAATCCTCGTAGAGAAGGAAATGAGGAATGCAAATCAATAACCTTAAGGAGTGAAAAGCAATTATCTAAAAATTTCCCTCCTATATTTGAGTTTTCACCTAAGCCATAAGTTGATCAAATTGAGCAAGAAGTATCTTCTACATCTACTAAAGCTAAAGTTATGATTATTAAAGATGACATTGAGAGGAAGTCTCCAAAAGAGGCAGTGATAATATTCAAGAAGAAGGGACTAACTAGTGATTATCTTTCTTGGGTGCCACCACTACCATTCCTTCAAAGATTTCAAAATAAGGCGTTAGAAGATCAATACAAGAAATTCTTGAAAATCTTCAAGCAATTGCACATCAACACATCTCTCATTGAAACTTTAGAGCAAATGCCTTAATATACTAAATTCTTGAAGGAGATGTTGAGTAAGAAGAGGAGGTTGAGTGAATGTGAAATAGTTGCACTTATTGAAGAGTGCAGTGCCATTCTCTTGAAAAAATTACCTCCAAAATGTCATGACTTAGGTAGTTTCTCAATTCTTTGTGTGATTGGAGATAAATTTTAAGGTATGGCATTATGTGATTTAGGCTCAAGTATCAACTTGATGCCATTTTTTTGTGTTTAAAAAATTGCAACTTGATGAAGCTAGTCCCACTTCGGTAACTCTTTAATTAGCTGATAGAAGTCTAGCATTTCCTAAAGGTAAAATTAGGGATGTATTAGTCAAGATTGATAAACTTATCTTTCCTATTGATTTCATTATCTTGGATTGTGATGAAGATAGAAGTCTCCCACTCATTGTGGGTAGACCATTTTTAGCCACAGTATGTGCTCTCATTGATGTTGAGAGAGGAGAGATCAAACTTAGAGT